TTACTTATCACCATTATATATATATATATATATATATATATATAAATTTTATTTCAATTATAAAAATTAATAAATATTATATATTTACTATGGAATAATTAGAATCAAAAGAATTCCATAATACTTTTTCTACTTCTCCTAATGCTTCCCATGATTTTATAATTGTTTCATATCTACAGTCAAATAATCTCACTATCCTAAAAAAAAAAAAATTAAACATAAATATTTTAAATATATTTACATTAATAAATTTTTGTAATTTGCTAAAAATAAATAAACATACTTATCTGCACAACCTGTTAATAATTGATGAGTTTCTATTGGATGCCATTTTAATGATTGAACTTTTTCATGAAAAGAAGTAAATTTATTAACAGGTTTTCCATTTTCTAAATCCCACAATAAAACTGATTGATCAACTGATCCACTAGCAAGAACATGTCTAAAAAAATATTTAAAAAATTGTCTTATTAATGAATATATAAAGTTCTAACTAGAAATTTTTTAATATTTGATACTAACGTATAATTTTCATTCCATGCTAAATCTAATACAGCATCTTTATGTCCAATATGTTTTCGATTTTTTTTTTTATTTGCTTTGCAACCAAGTTTATAAATTGGTTCTAAACAATCTATCAAATCTAAATCCCATACTTCTATTATAGGAGTCATATTACCAATTGCACATAAATTACCTATAATAATTAATATAACATAATAAAAAAAATATATAAATATGAAATTTATTACTTTAAATACATTATATATACTTGGTTTTGAATCTGAAGGATCAAAGTTAAGCCATTCTATACATAATGGAAATGATGGTAATAATATATCATGATGACAATAAAATGAATCTTCAGGTCCATTATATACTAAAAAATATTTAAATTTATATATTAAAAATCATTATATAATTAATAAAAATTAATTTTTTTCATTAAAAAAGATAATATACAAACCAAATATTTCCAAAATGCTAGCATCTCCTTCAACGCGTCCTACTAATAAAAGATTGTCATCACATTTAATAATATCATCTTCTTTTTCTGAGTCATCATCTTCCTTTGTTATAAAAGGATCTTTACCATTTTTTTCAATAATTGCAATATTATTAATATTACAATGTATAGCTCCTGCTGTAACATCAATATTATAAAAAAATTATATGAATTATTAATTATATAATTATTAATATAATATTAATAGTATTTATTATCTTACATTCTTCATCATATTTATCAAAATCATATTCATCTGTTTTGGATATATCAAGTTGAGAATCTATTTTATATTTTTCTTCTTTAACTTCATTATGTTCTTCATCTAAATCACTTTCAATATCTCTGAGGAAACATTTTTATTTTCAAATACAATTTCTTTTTTTAAAATTGCCAAATTATTTTAATACTTAATACTAATTTCAATAACTTTAATACTTACTGTAATTCAGATTGAGTTTGTTTTATGATTTTCTCTAATTCATTTGGAGTTAATTCAACCTAAAAATTAACGAATAAAAGATCAGATATACTTAAACAAAACAAATTTAATAAATTAGAAATATTTTAATATTTCATATTAAAACTGATTAACCTTTACAGGATTTGTTGATGCAACACCTTTTTTTACCCAAGTTATACACGGTACTATATTCATTTTAAAATTATATATTTTTTAATACTAATGTTTATAATACAAATATTTATTATTTTTTTTATAGAAAGGTTAAATATTAAAGTTAATAATACACGTGGTATTCATTCTATGTTACATTGCACATGGTAAAGATATCGATATATTACATTCGATTTTACGAATTTACGAGATTGTATGATATTATCTCTGACTCTGAAGTTAGAAACTTATAGTATAGTACATTTGGATGAAACGACACATTAATATTGTAAACAACTGTTTAATTTTCATTGTTAAATAATAATTTATACTATTCTATATTGGTAAGTAAATTTATTTACATTTTAAATTGGTATCGTTTAATGTTAATTTGTATTTATATAAATGTATTATAAGATATTATAATTTATTAACCTAAAATTAAGATAAAGATTATAACATATTGTAATAATGATATAAAAATATAATCAAAAATATAAAATAATAATTTATATATAAATTTCAGTTTTATAAAATGAATAGTTCATCGGATCCTAGGCGTCCAGAACGAGAAATTCGTTATAAACCTAATGTGTCAAGTAATCAAGCACAACCAGGCGACAACTCAACTCCAGATTATATGAATATATTAGGAATGATATTTAGTATGTGTGGTTTAATGATGAGATTAAAATGGTGTGCATGGGTTGCATTATATTGTTCATGTATTAGTTTTGCCAATTCTAAAGTGAGTGATGATACTAAACAAATTCTTAGTAGTTTTATGTTATCAATATCAGCTGTTGTAATGTCATATTTACAAAATCCACAACCCATGACTCCACCATGGGCATCTGCAATATAATAAAGGAATTTTTAAATTTCTGAGTTTTTGTGATCATTAATTATTTAATTAATTTTTGGGAAACATATATTATTATAAATTTAATACACTAGTTTTATCAGCATTATTTAATGATTTTTTCAATACAATAAAACATTATTCAAACTAAATAAGTTAAAATACAAGAAAAATAAAAAGAAAATTGAATCTATATTTTTATTTTTTGGAAATTTATATTTTAATACATTAAATTAAGTATTTTGTAATATATCACTTTTTCCTAATCATATTCTACAAATATGTCATTTATAATATTACTAATATATAATATTCATATGCTATATATAATATTTTCTATATATAAATATCTACTGTGTAAATCAAAAATTAATTGGGTCAAATATATTTTTTCTATTTTTTTTCTTTTTTTTTTTTTTTTACATAAATACAATGGTTTTAAAGTTTCAACTATTAAAAGACTTAATAAAAATTGTGTTCCATAATCTGTTATATAATCATATTTTTTTAATGGTTACATATTTTACATTCTATAAATTTATATGTCTTCAGTCCCATTTTTGCATTCATTAAAAAGTTAGTAAAAAGTTTAATAGAAATCATTGTTCAATTTTACTATGAAAGAAAATATTAGACATCAAATAAAAGAATTAGTATTTAAGATAAAATTATATCGATGATTACAAAAGATAAACTATATTATTTTATTACACATTTGTTAATTCTATTAAAAGACTGTACAAAAATGCATAAAAATTTTCATACTAAATACGATTGACATTGAGTAGGCCAGTGCAGTTCCTATATAAATGTTCACGCTTTCTCGCTATGTTATAACAATTAACAGTTAACAAAAACAAGAATCGATATTTTTCAAAATTGATATCCCTTTTGAATGACAAGGCATCATTGATTTGTGTAAATCGTCATTCATATAACTCGCTGCCTTTTCGCTAATTTTTTTATTTATTTTAATATCTTTATTTATTAAATCTTTAATATACATTCTATATCTTATTTGTCCTTTGGTTTATCATTTAGTCAGACAGAAAAGTTTCTGAATCAGAAAATATTTCATTACATTAGAAAAATGACTGTACAAAAAGGAAAAAAAGTAGCATTTTTATCCTACAATAAGAATTAAATATTATATTATTCGAATTTGACTATCTACTTATTATTCGAGAAAAATCTTTTACATCCCGTTTATTCTTTCTTAAATTTCAATGAAAGATCATATAAAAAGAGGCTACACAGATATATGGCCCATCAATTTTAGAATATTTTGCATTTTCATTTGTTCGAGGGTTCAAGGAAACGATTTTAAACGATCACACTGAAGAAAGTGATATTGGCACCTAATGGCTGATTTAAATCTATCTCGCCTCTTTTCTATGGTCCCCGGTTGATCTAACATTTCGCAATTAAACACTACTTTCACCACGACCAACCAGCGTGATCGGATAGACGTATTTCTTTCGTTTCGCATTAAAAAAAGGCGAATTATGTTGTCCATGCGTAGGTGTTGGTGATAATCCACGTAGAAGAGGCAACGAAACATCACCGGGCATTCCTGTCGCATCAAATTTCTTCTTCCATTCTGCTCCTAAATCTGTAGCTGGTGCCATTAAACCTTTACACTCTGGAGAACTTCTCACGCTGAGGAACACATCGTTGCTGCTATCACGTTGTCCAGAAGAACCCTGTGAAAAAAGGTACAATAATTTTTTCTCACTCTAAAATTTTATAAAATTTCAAAATTTTATGTCGCATATCGAATAATTTATTACTTTAGCTTCGAAAAAATCCAAACTGGATCCGTTTGTCTCGTGTTCCTCCACAGAGAAGCCTAATTGCACCCGGTTTGACGTTTGAGACGTCCTGGATGAATGGGAAGAGTTATGCGACGAGGAATTTTCGGATAAATCATCTCTACAGCAGGCAGCCGTACACACTCTTTGCTCTCTGCAATTTTCCAATTGTAAATATCATTTAATGATTTATTTATTTATTAACATGGAATAATAACGAATTAAGAGTCGGGAAAATTCTAACTACCTTCTAACGATAACAGAGTCTCGTCTTCTTGGTACTGGCGGCGGAAGACCAGCGGTTAAGCTTTTGGCGCTTTCATAACTCGCTTCGCTATTACCGCTGCTTGTATTACTCCCATTGTTCCCTTCCCTCAGAAAGTAATTCTTCGCCGAAAGCATAGCGAAGTGAAGGTTGTTCTTCAAGTCATCCGCCGCCGTTGACAAGTTTCCCGAGATTTTTGGTGTGCGTCTCATCGGGCGAGGTGGTGGTACCGGGGATGGTGGACTGCTCGATGCCTCCGACAGTGTTTCCGGTGTGGCCAATGGCGCCGTTCGAGAACTGTCGTCCCAATCGCTTCGACGATTCGATCTTCGCATTACAAAAAAAAAAAAAAAAAAGAAAAGATAATCTTTAAACACAATTCTTGAAATTAATCAGGGGGAAAAAAAATTAAAACTGCAGCTAAAGAGCAACATTTTATAATCAATGATGAATGAAGAAAATAAGATTTTTTTTGTTGGAATAAAGTGTTCCTCTTGAGTTGCGGATTTTTTGAAGATAAAATTCTCCGTTCTATAATCTGGATGGAATGCAATGGTTTTGGAGTGCACGATTGCCGAAGCGGTGAAAACTGTGAGTCATGAAAAATAAGCGAGTGTTAATGAGAGCGTGACATATGAGGTACCTTGAAATATATGAAACGATATATTTTTGATTATTTATAGGCGCGAATGACTTGAACGAGATTAAAAACGTAACGTTTCAAACATAATTAAACAGGTAACGCAAATTTATTCAATGATTCTCGCAAAGTACAATGCAATGAATCATATAAGAATATTCTCTTGACCAAGAGCAAGAGTTTATCAAAACGACCAATTTGATTGCAAGAAAATATCAATCGTTATCTCGTCAATGGCTCTCTCTTCTTTGCTCTAAAAATCCTCATCGTAAATCTAATTTGTTATATCGGCGTCGATTGAACGATCAAATCCTTCGTCACGGAACGGTAGTAGTAGTTGGTCGTCCAGTTCATTAAAATTGTCTATTCTTACGATTTACTCTCGTCGGCCCTGGGCGTGTTGAGCAATTCGCTGGCCAGACTGACGTATTCCCATGGAATCCCTCTCGAGTCGACGCTCAGCTCCCTGCCAGCTTGAGGGAATTCCGAGGGGCTTTGGAGGACGTGAAGCTCGTCTCTAGGCAGAGTTTGTGCGGTGGCGTCCAGCCAAGTTGCTAGGATGCGATTTAACAGGGCTCGAGGACGAGAGCAACGCTCTCATCTCCTGCTCGATCTCCATCTCCTGGACCTCGGCGGTCTCCCGTGCCTCCGACGCCTCCGTCGATGACGCATGACCGGAAGCTAGCCTCTGCGGTTTCACTGGCCCCAGGGTCGTTACAACCTGACATATCCACACGCGTGTTTCCAATGTAATCGTTTCACGTGCCTTCATCGACAATTTCCGCAATTTACTTCGTGTTATGACAGTTAATGATGAAAACAATATATCTTATCGTGATTCAAGAAGCAAATTTTATTTTGACCGATGCTTGATAAATATATATATATGGTATATATATTGATATACACAAATGTGGGGCATCGTGATGCGTGATAATGACGGATGATTATGTTGTGTGTATCGAATTTTTTATTATGAAAAGAAGGAAAGACTGAATTTGATATAAAATAAGATAGTTAAAGATTCGTTTCTGCCTCTCTCGATTCAATTGTACAATGTCTTCGTTATTATATATAAATTAAATTGAAAAAATTAATTTATAATATGAATTTGTTTCCTTTGCTTCTCCATTATTTACATTTTGAAATTTTAAATTTAATATTCAACGAGTTGGTGCAAATCAATGATCAATTAATACGGTAAGGGGATTGTTTTATAAAATTAAATAAGATTTTTATCATTATTAATATATATATATAAAAGATAATAATAGGAATATATATATATATCTTTCATCGAAACGAAGAACTTAAACTTGATTTCAAGACAGTTTCAAAGAGGATAAATTATTGAAATATTTTTTTATTCTATATCTTTTTAAAGAAACTTTTCTAAGTTCGATAAATTACTCTTATTGAGAACAGAGTATAAAATTTTATATATATCGAAAGTTTTGACGAAAAAAAAATTGAGAATTTTTTTCTTATATAATTCTTATAATCTAATGTTATATAAGAAAGAAACGAATAAAAATTCCTAATATTCATTAATTTAACATGAAAATTCTTAAAGAATATTCATGGAAAATTTTATACGAATAAAAAAATTTCATAAATATTAATACGAACATCTTGCTTACGCACATTCATGGAAATGATTATAAGAAACGAATTTTCTTTGTTTATAATATAATTAAAATGAAAAAAAAATATAATTTTATGATAAAATATGAATTATAATTATTTCCACGATGACGAAAAAACATTAGAGTATTTCAATACGTGAATACATAATTGGTGATATTAAACTTAATTAATAAATATTAGAAAGTAAAAATCAAATATAGGATGATTATGATAAACTAAATGCGTAGATGCACATGCATGAATTGAATGGCAAATAAACATTCAAGTATACCTATATCGACTTTATCTACAAGTTTATCGTTACGATTTTAAATTTGCAGCTTATGCACGATGTCATCTATAAAATTATATGTCTAAGTGAACTTGCAATACGTATCACATTTTTCGAAGCAAATTTCGAGCGAACATGTAAATGAATGATTATGAACGTGGTGTTAAAAAATTGTGATCATATATGTGGTCACATGCTATAGTATAATCAAAGATAATCTTGAGATAATTGTTGGCTGGAATTTTTTGGTCGCTGTAGAGGAGACCGTCGGTTCTCATAATATAATGAATAACATAATAAAACATTTTAAAAATTGATGGAACGTATCTAATCTACTGTTCTACTAACTATAAATACTAACATAAAATAAGCCTAATAATTATCTCTTACTTTAACACTCTGTACTAACTAACTTTTACGTTATAATATCTCAAATAAACAATTATAATATCAATGTTCAAAAAAAGGAATAATACAACATAATAAAAAATCACATACAGCAAACATATGTTCGGCGAACAACAAACGAACGTCTCTTGTCAAACAATTACCAAAAGACGGCCAATTCTTCAGCGACCTCCGATTCCAAACCAGTGATACCATTTTATTTTGCCTATTTTCAATTTAAAAATACAAAAAATGAAACACAAATTTCTCTATTGCAATTCTCTACCAAAATAAACATCTATTTCCCAATTATGGAAAATCTATTTCATTAGCTAGATAATCGCATGATGGTACCACTGGCATACGATTGCCCGAGGAACACACACATCGGATAAAGCCGAAAGACGTCAATGTACCTTGTGCCGTGGCGAGAAGAGTGTGTGGTGACATAGACGTTAGCGTCACGGCCGTGAGAACTCGTCGGTGTACTTTGATGATGAAGCACGACGTGTCGTTGTTCAGGAGTCCGTTGGGTTGCTGCGTCCTTTGCAACCGTTCCACGTGTTGCTGCATCTCCGTCCGCAGCGCCGCGATCTCTGCACGCTGACACCTAATCCACACACCACACACCCTCAGCCACACATCCTCTCGTGAGATCGCTGGTTATCGATATGCCACGATTCGAGGAGGGACAATTTTTTTTGGCATTTCGAGATGCAACACCTAAGTCTAATGTCATGTAGGTGGGAAATTGGTTAATCATTTATGCTACAGGAGTAAAGGGATTTCTATAGAGTCAAGATTCGAACTGAGAAAGAATTTTGTTTAACCCATTCGTAACGGATGACCTACTGATCTCCTGAGTTTTAAGTTTTCATTTATCGTTTAGTTTCATCTTATGAAATTAATGATATATTAAGAGTAGATATTGGAAAATAACGCACGAAGTATAGTATATATATATATCATAATATGAACGTCCAAAGAACGTTGTGGATGCAATAGAATTTTAATAGCATCTCTGTTCATCTTTTATGACTTATATTGGTTATTATGGATATATCGATCTTAATAAGTAAATATTATTCAGTTGCTTGTTAGCTTGTTAAAATGTATATAGCTCGATCTACATTTGGCCATTTATACGTTTTAAATTAATTATCTTGTCTTATTTTCTATCTATCTATTGAATTCAAATCTGGTCGTTGCATTGTTACGAATGAGTAAATATATAAAGACAACACAATTTTGCTCGATGCAAAAACAATCTAATCGAATTTTTATTCTTTCTCGTTATTCAACGTTAAAAATACAACTCGTTTCTAAAATTTTTTATTCTAATTCTTTATAGGTTTCGGCCAGTCAATTAATTTTGAATAAATTTAAAATCAACTGCGTTCTAAAATACAAAAATTATATGTTTTTTTCACTACCGCATGCAAAGCGAGAACAAACGTATCATCATTAGTGTTTGTGATTGCAGTTGAAGCTGAAACATTAGCTGAAACAGGGTGAAATTAGAGAAAGAATTTAATAATTTTATACGCAAAGCGAATATATATTAATTAGGCATGAAATCAGCAAAAAATCAAACGAAATAAATATATAATAATTTTCATTATACATGTATTATTTATATTAACTTACTTCAATTTAAATAATAATATAGAAAGTATATAAATTTATAATAATTTATCATAATTATAAATAATACATTATATATATCATTGTCTTGCCTTAAACATTTAAGTTTATTATGTTTCAGGCATAGAATTAGGAAGCAAAATTTAATAAATAAATAAATAACAACATTTTCATCATATAAAATATATTGATCAAAAGTAGTATACATTGAAAATTATACATAGAATCATATTGTTACAATATGCAATCAAAACGACCACTAAACGATAAAAAGTTTAGTGTATTTGCTTTATTTATTTGGTAAAATTTTATATTTTTACATAAATAATAATAACATATAAAAGCCATAATAAAATTTTTTGTATAAAATAATTTAATTATTGGATTAAGTTATTTGTTTCATCGATTTTATTATTTATTGATAAAAAAAAAATGTTCACATAAATATTCCATATAAATTTTTAGTCGTTTTGGATGCAATCGATTTAAATGGAAAATATAAAATAAAATATCGAAAGTGAACAAAAAATAATATAAAAGAAAAATAACGCACAGAATTATGCGAAAAGCTATAAATATAATTGTTTGCAGATGTTACACAGTAACTCATGCAGTATCTAAAAACATGCGTGTCAACTACTTGATCAGTTTAAACAAAAGGATAAAAAACAAAAATATTCGATACAGTAACTTTCACTTGGCTCTTATTACACATCGTACAAATATTATTGCTTTCATGTTATACTATGCGCTAAGAAATAATAAAAAAAAAAACAAATTATTCTATAAATTAATATACTCCTTAAATAAAAGATATGAAAAATTAAATATAAAAAGTAATACTACAATAATAATAAATAATATTGAAAACCTACCTAATAAACTACAACTACAATCATGATTTTATCTATTTCAGTAGATAATTATGAAGATAAAAAATCACGTAATAAGTTGAGTAAAATTCGCTTCAACTTAAATTTAAAAGAATTTTGCAATTCTTTTGTCAGTCAAAATTAGAAAGTGTCAATTTCTAACAAACAAGTATCGTCAAAAAATTGTATTCTAGAATAGTATTGCTTAATAAATATCACTGAATTAAGAATTCTGTCTTGGAAAAAGAGTTCACAATACTCTTCATGTCACTACTAATATTCACATTATTCATTTACAAACAACAATATATAATTTCTACAACAACGTAGAAATTATAAGAAAATTAATTAAAAAAAAAAAACGTTAAAGGAATATAAATTATCCCTTTTGTAACAACAACGCTCATAAATGTGAATATTGGTAATGAAAGAATCAATAATGATAATAGAATTTCATCAATAATTATTTCTCTTTCTGTTCATGTATCTCGGCATTAACTATAATTGTTTCGTTACAAGTCTTTGCCACGTTACTAGTAGTTCCAGCTTTTACACTACTAGCATCACCATTTTTCATGTGTCCATTGATTTCTACATTGATTACTATATTTCGAGGTTTGCCGCCTTCCTTCAAAATATCTGGATCATCCGCCACATTCTCCAAGATTTCGTAATTACCTGGCCTCACCGAAGACATTCGGCTAACCGGTGTTTGCGACCTCTTTATCTGACGAATTATCGGATCGGTCTGGCTTACCTTGTTCAATGCTTTCAGCATATTGTCCGGCATATGGTCTTGTATCATCACTGGGCTTATCAACACCTCGTCAAAGTCACATGGTCCGGCCCAAAGCGCTTGGTATACCGGCTCGTGTTTGTGCAACATTTGTCTGAAATGCAAGAAAGCAATATTATATTCGTATATTCGTCAACTTTAGACGACGAATTATATTTTTATACGAAGTAAATCGCATTTAATGTTCTATGAGAAACTAATTGCTACGTGAGATTCATGCAGTCAAATGCATTTGCAATATTGAATAAATTGATCTTTTGGACTATGTAAGTACAGAATGATTATTTACGAAGCAACGCAGTCCGATAGTTTTCAAAGTTTATAAGATATATTTCAAGTAACGACGATCGATATGTATAAGTGAAATCTTGTCGGTTGTAAATGGGCAAAGTTTTTATCACGATAAGATGAAAGTCTTTTGAAATTCTGATAGTTTAGAAAAGATTTTTTGCATTGTTATTTCGCGTCTCAAACTTTGAAAAAAATCGCGAAATTTATCTTACTGAAAATTACTCTGTACGAAAGTATCTAGTTGCGCTGTTTAACATCACTGGTCCTCTATGAATTTCACTCATGCAAAATATGAGAATGTAGAAGATGCTTATACAACAATATCTCTGACAGTTCAACAATCAGAGACAATGTGCGACGATAGTTTTCAAAGAGAAAAGTGTAGAAATATAAATCCAAGGGAGGTACACATGCGGGCACATCCTCAAGATGCAATTACCCAGAGCAACCCTGAAAATTCAAACTTTTCGATAAACGTACCTCCAGCGGCTCTCATATTTGTGCCTAGAAACGGAAAACACGGTCGATTAAAAATTATCTCTTAACCACCACTCGAGCATTGCATCTATAACGCTTTTTTTTTTTTTGCTGTCTGCGTTTTAAACGATATTTAAAGTTGTTATTTATAAGATACACGAGAACAGACGAACTTACTCTCCCTTGTTAGGATGATGTCGAACAACGTGTATGATTCGACCAGGTGGATAGAGAGGCCTGTGCAAGGTCAACGCGATACTGGAATCGCTTGGAACGACGGTCTGCGAACGGGCTAGGTCCTTGTCTCTCTGATACTCGCTGATACATCCGCCAGCTTCCAAATTTGCAGCTGAGGTAGGGGTGGAACCGCAACCGCAACACATCACAGAGCATGCTATCGTTTTCCACTAAAAACGATGCGATTTATGACGTGATTCTCTTCTCGATTATATGAGAACACTTATCACTCTCGTTGTTAACTACTAACTCATTCTTTAGGAATTTTATCAACATAAAATTTAGACAGAATTTCTCTTCAAACAACGAATCATCACGATTCACGCTCTGATTATATTATCTAATTATAACATTTTTTATCAATTTCATAACAACAATCAAATTCTATCGATTTTATAAATCGAATACTGGATAAGGTAAGATAAAAGTAATGTAGTAACGATATTCTATTTGGTTTTTTTCAAAGAAAATATAGAAATTCAATATGTTCCAGTTCTTTCTATAATAAAGTACGTACCTTAGGATCGACGCTTCTTTTTATAGCATTGATAAGATCAGCTCTTAAGCTCTCCATCTGTCTAAGACCTATCCTAGGTACAACGTCTTTTCCAACTACTACGGATGTAATAAATTCCTGCGAGTATTGCTGAGCGGGCATGCTCAAGAGACCACCCGGTGGAGCGAACGAGAAGCACACCAGGTCAGGATAATCTTGCTTAAGCAAAATCGCCAAGATAGCTGCGGTACCAGCTCCCAAAGAATGACCAACGAGTACCAGACCGAATTGATGGGTTCCCCTCGATGTATCCTGCAATAAGTAATTTTGAATCGTTTCCAAGTGCAGTTCTACTAAACGGTTCTGTAATAAAATATTTGTTGAATATGAAAAGGAATATAAATTTGGAAATATTATATATCAAGAAAGGAAAGAAAAAAAAAATAGAAATATTGTTCAAAATAAAATTTTAAAGAAGATAAATTATTTGTTATTTTTTTCATACAATTTCTGTATTTTTTTTTTTTCCCCTACTTTAACGTTGTTCGTGACATCAAATAGCAACAAGCATGATAATAATGAATAATTATTCCATTTAACGTATTGATAACCATGCAAGTAAAAAAGCATTTGCATTTAAGGTAACGATAAGGTAAAAATATAATACCTTGGCGAGTGCACGAGTTATAATTCCCTCTTCTAGCAATTTTTTTCGAATGTATTCGGCTGCTTGGACCATACCCTTGTGACCCAACCAATCGTCTCTCGGTGGTGACAATGGTAACACTTCACCCTCCGCGTTCAAGTCCGTTAATACATCCTTCATGCTGAGGGTACCTCGTATACTAACGACAACCTTGAAAAGAGGCAGCAGAAAATTGATAATTAACCGTTCTCAAGTTCACTCGAGTTCGTGGGTAAAAAGCAGCTCTTAAATCTTATCTTGAAAATTAAAATCTTCTATAAAGTTTTAACAAGAGTTAAACTATTGATTTTCAATTATTTCGATCCATTCCTTCATTATGCTAAAATCCTCGAGTTCACACTTTAACACAGTTTAATATTCATATATTTAATAGATAAGATAAGAGATTAAATTGGATTATTCGATATCATTTAATTCAAAATCATTATTAAAAATTATTCACTGAATTATTCAAAGATACTTAAGTACACACTAAACTCGAGAGGAGTTTAACAAAATTAAACAAAATAATGTAATTTATTCATTATAGATAAAATAATCTCTGTACGATTCTTTATATTTATTTGTACGTATAATAGCATCTCACGGATGTCGCTGCGACGAAGTTTAATAGCTGTTGAAAAATTCATGAAGTCGCTAAACGAAGTTCATTTATTTTACAATTAAGCGGACAAAATTCCAGTTTGCTTTAACCTCTCGAGATCCTTACCGTTTAAGGATTGCAATTTTCATCGGATCGAATCGTCGCAACGAATATATCGTGACGAAGCTTTTTTGCGAGCATCGTAAGAAGCTCTCGATGTAATCTCTGCTCTATATCTAATCGTCTTTTTTCTCTCTCTTTCTCTCTTTTCGACGTTTCTTGGGCAAACGCGGTTCGATGCATGCGAATCAATGAGGAAACGCGCGAAACCTTTTTCTTCGTGTAATCGAGAGCGACGAAGAACGGCGTCTCACCGACGTCGACGTGAAAAGTCGCATAAATGACCTCCACCTCGGCGACGTCGACCATCTTTCTTAGCGCCACGTAATTGCACTGGCAACAATTGTCTTCCACAACGGTCGCCTCATCTTCGTGGCCACCGCACGGGAAACAGCCGCATCGTAATCTGTCACAGAGAGTTCCATCCAACTTATTTTCCAAAGAAAGCTTTTACCGCGGGCGTTAATTAAGGCATGCAAATTGCTTCAAGTGTTTCATCGTTAATTGATTGGACGAAGAATTTCGGTCTAATTACGGTGTAAAAAATGTTCTTCGACTTAACGAAACACTCTTAACGTATATTTCTGAAAGAACGAAAAAAAAAGAAAAGAAAAAAAAATATCAGCGCGTTGTGAAATTACGATAGATACAATTAAAAGATCGAACGTCGATCGATTAAAGGATTTTGTCGTACAACCACGCGAGACATCGTTGAAAAATCAATCGATGCCAACACATCTACAGAGCCGCGACACGTGTGCGTCGCTGTACTCGATGGCATTACCTTGTGCACAGCTGACAAAGACCGGTGGAATGATTAACGAGGAACATGGGCCAGCCATAAGCAGCGAGGGCAAAGTGCATGTAATGAATGGCCAACTGAAAGTGGCCCAGATCACCATCCTCGGTCAAGGACAAGAATTTAGTGCGAGGAGTAACCGGCACACCGGATAGAAACTCGTACGTATCGTTTTTCCGTTGCTTCACTATCAGCTCCCGCTCGATTTTCTGGAACTTCCTCAATAGCACCAAACCGGCGACCACATCTGATGGGACGACGTCAAGGTCACGGAAGAAATCGCTCAATAATCTGGCGATGTCCGCGAACGAATTCTGAGAAATAAACCGTTTTCCTTGAAAATCTCAAATTTCGTATTGCCTGATCGATGCTTCGTCGTAATTATATTATACAGAAATAATCTTTAATTCGTTGTAATAATGGTAATGATAAAAAGTTGAAAATGCAAAATCAATAATGTTGCTTAAAATAGAGCTTTATAAAAGAAAACGATCAAAATCTTTTGCACCGACCTGATAAATTTCTTTGAAGAATTTTCCTCATTTGCCACGATGATACTTACTCGGTTTCTATCGGAATTGCCCATACAGCAGAAAAGAAGCCTGCATCTGTTGTCCCAGCTGTCCTGGTACGCTCGTATAACTTTTCTGCAAGTACCAAATCGTTTCAATGATCAATGATAAAGTTTAAGGAAAAGTTGCAAAAGTTATCTTAAAAATTTATTCGTCGATCTTTCTTCACAGTACAATAATATAATAAGTAACGCACGCACGT